GGAGTCCCATAATAGCACGAAACGGCCGTCCAGTGATTCCAGGTTTTCCCTGATGGTCTAGCTTCAATCGACTCATGATCTCAACTCTATAAATTACTAAAATCTCCACAAAACCCCTTCTGATAATTATTATTTAAATAAAGGATAAAGTATTTCAGTCATTGAAATTGTTTATTTTTTCTTAAATATATCATTAAAATTAAAAATATTTTTACCCTTACCTAATGGTACATCCAAAACCTTCTTAGATCTCGATCATATTCAATAGGATGGTATGTTAAAAAGTTTGATAAATTTTTTTCTTTAAATATACATTTCACAATATGCACACATAAATTAAAGGTTGAATAACGTTTTTACAAATGATTTTGTAGTGTGTGCTACTGATGTCTACAGATATAAGTAGTATTTATCACCAGTTGAAAGTGAAATACATGAAGGCAGAAGAAGATCAAAGAGAAGAGAACGAGAACAGAGAGTGATTGATGTGAAAACGAAGGTACAATGCAGTGTGAGACGATTGGCTGATATTTTCCAAATGGAAAATTTACTTTATGGTTCTCAGATTTTGTAATTTTGTGTTCAAATACTTTCAATTGTCCTCACTTATGTTCTCGCTCAATGAAATTTGACTAAAATACGAAATAATGATACAGTAAATAAACGTTCAAATTTTATCAAAAGGATATATAGAGTGGTTTATTCTTGAACAATATTAGCTTCTACAGAGTGAGCTACAGAAGACATCTGATCAAATGGTTTTCAATAACTTTCATAAAGTAAATTCAGAAAACTGGATAAGTAAAATAGAGGCAATGGAAAATCTTAAAGTTAGGAAAGGTTTTGTTATCCTTATAATTAGCTTCTAAACTAATGAGATCGCCGGGATACTCGATTTCAGACTAAAGATTTTATCAAGAGAGACATACATAGGGGCCAAGCTAGTCTCCCTGTAACATGAGAATAACTCATTGCTACAGTCAAATGTAAATGAATATCCAAATTTTTTCAACTCCAGCTGTATCAACTAGTTTATATGTATCTCCTAAAGCAAATAAACTGGAAGATTAGGGTGTAGGCTTAGTGACTACATATTTTAGGGCATTTCACTGATTCTTTTTAAGTATTTTATATTTTACATAAACTATGACATTTTCTTTTCATTTCTCTGCTCCAAAATATTCGCATATTTAACCTACAAATAAACAACTTTTTAAACAATTCCTCAAAAAATATTGTATTTTATTAGTCTACATATACTTATAAAACCGAATTAAGATTCTTCTAATATGAAGAGTGTACACCGTTTTGTTTTCATATATTTATAAATACTACTATTTCTATTTTGTAAGTAGTTTAAAAGAATTAATGAAATAAATGAATAAGCATTTAAAATTGGAGAATCTTTTCTGTATGATTGAAATTATACAGGGTAATCCTTACATATATTTCAAACAATATTCGGTCAAAACTGAATTTTCAAATCAAGGGAACATTAACCACTTAATGAATAGAATGATTTATAACAATCGTTAAATTTTAACTTTCAATTACAATTTTCGATTCCATTAGTTCTAAAAGTCGATATTCAGCCACACAAAAAAACGTTCACACATTTAAAATTTTTCATTTTTCAATAATCAAGTCATCAGGTAGTAACTCTTTAAATGTTCATTAGTTTGATTTAAGAAAGGGGGGTTTTTCAGTATTCCATATTAATAAAAATAGTTCTCGAGAATCAAATGAATTGAAATGAATTCGTTCTATTCTGCTCAAATCTTGCATCTTGCTATCTGTATGATAATCAAAAGTACTAGGTATATTATTATTTTTATTATTGTTATTAGCTTCATTCAATATTATTTTTTTGGTACAATATAGAATTCACAGAACAAAGTATTTCACCAGGTTTCCGTTTCTAATTTCTTCATCGATCGTGATGATAAAAATTGAATGATCGCTATTTGAATATTAGTATTTCAGATGTTGACATGTGAATGTTATTTATTCTTTTCAATACATATTGCCAGCCATGACACTGTCTCCGATTGTACATTTTCTTAACTTTTATAGCTAAAGGTCGTAAACCTTTCATAAACGCACTTGAATAGCTTACGTAATTAATTGACATAATGATCTGTCAAAACAAACAAGGAAACAGATTAATCGTTGAAATATCTAAATGGTAGGAATAGGTAGACCAGATATTTCTCCACTGTTTATTGATATCCAGTTAACTAACTTGGATTTATAATAACTGATTGTAAACATACTACAAAACCATTTCCTATGTTATATAACACTGATTTTTTTATCATGTACAGTTAAGCCATAAAAATCTATTAATCAACAACTGATATTATTGATTATTTTTCTGATGCTTAATGTCCGTTGTTCACTCAATTATGATTGAACAATAATGATAATAACAAAGTAGGTATCCTACTTCACTTCATAAATTTACTGTCGATTAGTCACTTTAAAACAACGTAGAAAGATAAAGTTAAATATGACTTTATTTAAGACATACATAATTTAGATATTCCTATGAACAGGCAAACCGAGCGAATGAATATGATAATTGGTAAGATATAGACAGGATTATCTGTGGAAGCTTACGTGGTGAATATTGGATGATATAGTCTTTATAGTAAGGTGAATAATATTTGAATTTCAAATAATAAATTTTAGCACAAATAATAGATACTCATAAGATGTATACAACTAAAAAAAATGCTCCTAGTTCACACTAAATAACTATCAAGACCATAATTGCGGAAATAAGCAAAGAGTAATGGCGACAAATGGAGAGATACGCTCATACCTTCAATCTAATCAGCAACGTTACAATGAAACATATTATGGACAAAAAGGAAGTTAGATAGAGGTTTTCATCAGTCTATTATTTTAATTTAACATCAGATTGTAGATTTGACTATTTTTATCAGTGTACATGGTCCACTACCGATTTATCAAAAATCATTAGAATAACTAAGAAAATGTTCATAACACTAAGAAATGAACGAAGAATGTTCTTTTCGGTAAATTCTTTTCAGATTCTACAATAATATGTTCAAACTAATAATCCCAAATGTGGTCAAGTTTAAGGTAAACTACATAGCTTAAAGTTATATCACGTGAATATGGGACTGTTAGCTAAAATTAAATTATTATCAAAAAGGTTTTTTTGGATTTTATAGTAATTTAATAGTTGAGTTCATTAGTCAATTGAAGTTAGACCACTATGGAAAGCCTGGAAGCACTGGATAGCCATTTTGTCATAGTGCGAGACTCCACAGTGGTCCACATCCACGATTCCGCCAACAGGGCTCGAATCCAGGACCCATTGGCCCTGCGCTCGAGCGGTTGACCTCTAGACCACTGAGCCGACATCCCACATTGTAAATGTCTAATTTCAACCAATCCACGAAATTGAGTCACCGTCTGCAGTGAGATTGAAATTGATGATCAGAATAAGTATAGGTCAGTTAGAGTGAAAGAAATAATAATGCAGTTACAAATTTGATTCAGTGTTAACTGGAAGACTACATTTTATAAACATTAAAATGAACTTAGTAAGAAATAATGATGCAGAATATATTAATCATGTATTCAGGAGACTAATGGTGACGTTAAATTAATAGTAATAGCACAGATATTTATTATTAGAAATAGCGCAAACAATTATGTTTAACTAAGAAAACTTTTAAATACATCAGTCAAATATAGTCATTCAATAATTAGAATTACCATTGATTAATTGGTACTAAGTTTTTCCAAAGTAAAACAAACCTTTGAAAGTTTTTGCTTAGTACACATGGCTCCTGAGGAGGAGGAACTCATCTATATGGCTCCATAATAGATGGTGTCTGGAACCATGATAAGGTCATAAAAACCCTCTCAGCCTCGACCACATAGCTTTATTATTGTTTGTGTACTCCAGTTCTGTAAGTTTATCATTTTTATTATGGATGTGTCCTTACAATACTCATACCACTAAACAGCCGAAATTTCAGTGACATCTGCGGTTAATGCGGTCAATTTTACCGATGCTTTTATTATACAGCTAGCAGCAATGATGATAATATGCCTTAGTCTCAATCTGGATAGAGCAAAAAAGAGGACTATTCCAGCAAACGTCTTCCTTCAAAATATGTTACATCGAAGAACATTACGGTAGTCTGCACAAAGTCATTTGATCACTGAAATTTCAAATAAAGGAACTTCTTAGTAATCTCACTTATTGTAGCCACCTAATTGTCAAGTCTTCTCTAAAATCCTCTGTGAACCGATCGTACATGAGCACTGAGTACTGAAATTAGCGCCGTGACCTTGAAATCCCTCAAATTCTTCTGATTGGCTCACCCATAAATTATAGTCTCGTCATTTCAGTTTTTTTCATTTGAAGTTAAGTAATGTCAATTTTTCAAATCATAGACTTTCATTCACTATCTACACCGTTAACAAAATGTTTACATCCTCAATGAAAGAAATCATATTCATTCAAAGATTCCAACAACAACAATCAAGTAACGTCATATTCATGTACAACACCTAATGAGCAAACGGTTAGAAGTTTTACAATCTATTGCACTAAACTCTGATAACCATACAGCAAACAGTTAATTTACAAAATAACAATCAATTATCTCAATCTTCACTAATCCATCTTTTCTAATTTCATTGTTTGTGCATTATCCTACCAACTGCGTTTCATTTCAGTTTTTTTCTTATCGGTCTTCTGCCAAAAAAAACATTTTATGTTTAACCATCATCATATACTACTTATATGGATATAAGTAGATTACACTACTATAATACTATGGAAATATTTGCATATCTTATAATCTAGAATGTAACATTTTGCATGATTTCCTAGATACTTTATTTTTTGATGCTTGAATATAATTGCATTCATGTTTTATTTTGTTCATTATAAATCCATTGTCAGTAATTTATTTCTTCTTTACACTATAACTTTTCATTGATTTATATTATAGAAAGCTTCATATCTACCTCCTCAATTAAATAGTTTCTATTGTACAATCAATTCACCATTGGTCAATAAATTATTTCAAGAGAACATTATAGAAAGTCAATCTTATTTAAAAGATATGCATTGTGATACACAACGACGTATCTGTCAAACATGTTTAAAACAATCATGTTTAAAAAGTAAAATTGAATTATTTTCAGAGATGAATTTGAAGAAAGCTCAACACAATTTACTTAGTAACCATGGTGAAATTGAAAATAATCATGATTTTAATGAAGAAATATTCTATGGAAATTTATTGCGTGTTAATACTATTGAACAAAATATATGGCAAGCTAATGGTATGTTTTTTATTTTTACATTATTATGTTTTCGTAAATGTAGATAGATTTCCTTCACAACATGACTAAAGGTAACGATATACTCAATACTTAGGACATGCGGACATCTAACTCGATTCAGTAATGCGCACTCAGAGGATTTCATAAGATATATAACCTAAGACTTATTAGTCAGTATCTAGTGGTTCATAATTCCAACCTCGACCAGCATATTGTATAGTAGGACAATCATCCCGTATAATTAGAAGTTCTTTCTTAAATCTCAACATACTCCAACTTCATCAACCAAGAGTCACCAAAATTCGTTAAACAGAATGCTATTTTGTTTAATTGGTTAGTTGTTGAAGTAGGTTCACTGTTTCCTTTAATTTTTAAACTGATTTATACGGTATAGAGAAATAATTTATACTCACTTAAGCGACTTGATTGTAATTCTGTGAAGATTCAATGATTAGAAACACGCTTTTTGAGGTGAAAGATGCATTAGTTAACACGTTTTTTTATTTGGAATTCTCATATATAATATCCTATATGTGCTTAGATTTCCCTACTGTGTCGTTTAACAAAACATAATAGTTCACTAAATTACCATTTCATTTACAGAGATATTACTCGCAAATTATACAAACTCATTTAAATAATATACACATTGAAAACCAACCAGTTTTCTTGGAATATATATTTAGATTCTAGTGGTCGGATCTATGTCGAGCTCACATAGCTTATTCTAGCTTCTGGACAAACAAATTTATCCATTCTTCCCAAGCTACACTTTGAACTTTTTATTTATTCGCTTATCAAACTTGTTTGTTTTTATACGAGTGCATATGTGTACACTTCTTATCCTACTGATAATATGTCTGTAACCTATTTCTATCCTGCTCTAAATATTGACTAACGCTTGATTAAATCGAGTTGACTAACATGCCTTCTCCAATCTGCTTCGCCCTTTTCATTTTCGTTTTCTCTCTTTAACTGCCTATTCAAATCACTGAGTGGATGAAATATGCGCATTTAAAATCCATTTTCGTATTGGTTTATTTACTTGCATTATTCACTACAGCGAGCTAAGTTGATAATTATATACGAAGAAAGATGACATATGTATTTCAAAAACCATCATTCATCCAATCTAACTGCAGTCAGATATACCTGGCCATTAAAACACTATTTATTTGCAAAAAAGCAGATACAATTGCTTTATAAGACGCATTCGGAAAGCAAACACTGATTACTTGTTATCTGTCTAAAACCAAAAACTGTAGGCGAGTTAACAGACGCATATCGATAGAGTAGAGTTTGTAGAAAGCATATTTGTAGTAAAGGAGAATGTAGGCATGGAAAAATCTATTTCGATATTTTTCTCATAGAAAATGTACATCATTTCTCAATACAACCATCAACATAAGTGACATAAGAGAATTGTAAGCGGTACATATAATCAAAATTGTTACATTATTGATAGGTTTGTAGCCCCAATTGTTATATGATAAAAGCCTACTGACTGAGAAAGTTTAATCAGTATTGGTCAAGTATGAGTGGTGCAATTTACCGTTATCCAACCTTCATGTCAATGGCAGTTTAGACAAATCTCATGAAATAATTGCCAAAGTTTCTAGAACAATTGTGGAAATTGTATACGAAATAACAAATCAGCTTTAAAAGTGATTTAGCTAAGTAATGGAGAGGAAATCAACCTTTTTGAGCTTTATACTAAAACATACCGAATACGATTTCCTTCATTACTAAATAAATCCTTGATTTCTATTCTTTCGTTTATTTTATTTGGTTCAGTTAGTTATCCTATTTTTTATCCTTTTTATACAGATCCTGATTGCTGTGGTATTAAATGTTATTCCAATCCAAGTTGCCTTGATTACTTTGGTTCTCGTTGTGAGACATATACAAGTAGACATTCGAATGCAACTGAGATATGCTTACAAGGTGAAATTTTAAATATATTTTTAAGAAAAATATATATTCTAATCACTTTTAATAAGTAGCTAAATTAAATTAAAGCAAATAATCCATCTTCGGTAATTTCCTTTTCAATAATACGATCATGCTTACGTTAAAGAATAATCCTTGTTTTAGTAAATAAATGGATGATTATTATTAATAATACGACCTATGCTAAGGTAAAGGTCAAAAAGATAACTATAAAATGATAGATTTTAATGTGAATTTTTCCATGTAGGGGCATAAATTGCGTTGTAAATGCCAAAAGAAATCAAGTAAATGTGATCAACTAATAGAAACAACAAGAATAGGACCCATGACTTCAGTGAATTTTTAGTTCGATATATATGGACATATAAAATTACTAAGTATTATGCAACATTACTTAGAGTTAAAACGGTTGATAAATAGTAAACAGAAACTAAATACAGAGTGAACTATATGGTGGTGAATAAATCGACCTTACCAACCATTTTGTGTACCATTCTGTGTACTGTAATAACAATATGCCTTTCCAGAATGAAAAGATGTATAAATGCCTATTGTATGATTTGACGTGATCTTATAAATTATCCGAAATTCATAGTTTAATACCGCATGACCATGATAAACTGTCTATTATAGATTTAGAAATTGATAAACTAGTGAGAAGCAGTGACCAGTGGAGTTCAACTGAGTCTGTTGTGAGATAGTAACTCACTTAAGACAATGGTGAACGGTGGCATTATTTCGTAGATCGGTTGAAGTCAGACATTAACATCGTTGGATCCCGGCTCAGTGGTCTAGATGTTAAGCGTGGTAGTTCCTGGGTTCGAATGCGGGATGGTGGATGCGCACTTCTGAGGAGTCCCACGATAGGATGAAACAGATGTTCAGTACTTACAGGTTTCCCATAGTTTCTTCTTTCATATGATTAATGATTTCAACTATAAAATTACTAAAATCTTCAAAAAATCACTTTTCTGAAAACTTATTGTTTGTTCTATTATAGGTAAAACATTAAAATTTACTTTAAATCCTGAATTCGACTTTACTAATGGGACTTATACATGTCACGTACAACATCGTCCTCCGAAAATCATATACACTATTGAAACTTGGTTAACTCTTGAAATTCAAGGTTTACCAAAGTTAGTATGGAGCAGTCCTCGTTTAAAATATAACATTCAAATAATGAGTAACGGAAAACCTCCAAGACGTAAATCAAACAAAGTGGATTATGATATTCAAACTCTGGAGCAACAATTTTTAAAACATGGTATTTTGTTGTTATGGAATGAGAATATTTATTTAGAGCATAAGACAGGTTTACCTATATGGAATGATGCAATTGTTCATAGGTCTGTTGACAAAGAAATATCACTGTTTCAACTGAAGTTTCTGAAAGATTTTGGAACTGAACCTCCGCCACTTCAAAGACACAAGGAGGAGAAATACATAGTTGTGCAGGTAAGCAACTATTTTTATTTCTTTTAAATGATCAGGTGAAATTTATAAAAGCCAGCCAAATAATGTAAAATATTGAGCGGTAGTGCATAACTGCTAATTGAGGCACTTCTCAGAATCAGAGATAAATTACTACAATTTCCATAGATGTTGTAGCGAACATTATGAATAATTTAGGAATAGTCGCACATGAAATAGTCAGCAACGAAGACTTAAAAAGACGATGACAACTGAGTGATTCGAGGCAAACTGCAATAAATGTCAAAATTATTTTAAATTTTTCGTCTTTAATGAGTTTAAACATAATGTATACCGATTCATGAAAACTATCGCCCCTGCATGCTAATCACATAACCGTACTGGTTATGTCGACCTGTAGATTTAGACACCTAAAAGCTTTTATCAAGTCAATATTTCTGTAGGTGATAGTAAATATCAATATATGAACCAATCGTAAATGCATCAAACTCCACATAAAATATTTTTTGGATTCTAACAATTTACAGGAAAAGCAATTGCATTTACTTGCATTGCATTTATTGCATTTATTTCATTTTAATTTTAGTGTTATGCTCCGAAAACGAAGTAGGATTTTGATAATTTTGTAATTTCCAAATATTAATTGACTTTTATATTTCATTATGTCTAATTTCAAAGAGGACGTATATAACTATCTTCTGTTTATTTGGAATGCCATTACAGTATAGTTACTTGGCTCAGTCTATTAGCTGAAAATTTCATGACCGGTTTTGCTTTTAAAGGAAAATTGGTGTGTTCAGTAGTTTTTTATAGATATATAAGTACACGACGAAAGAAAACAAAGCAGACGTATAAATCTTATATAACACTTTTGTTGATTAAGCCACTATTTATTCTGGAAGTAACATATAATGACGAGAAGTTGAAGAATAGATTTTCAGTGCTTGTCAGTGACTTACTTTGAGACGGAATTTTCAGAGTTCTAATGAGATACCATTACCAGTGAAGTTCAACCGTGTTGGGTGTAAGCCAGCTACCCACGAAAAACAGTGTAAAACGGTCACGCGACATTGTGGACATTAACACCGTAGGATGCCTGTTCAGTGATCCATAGGTTAGGCGTTTGCGCGTGATATCAAAAGCTTTGGGTTCGAATCCCAGGATTGTAAGTGCGAGCTGATGGGGAATCCCTTACCAAGACAAATAGGCCGTGTACTGCCGCCAGGTTTTCAATGGTTGTCTAACTTTGATCAGTTCATGATTTCAATAAAAAATAAATCGTCCGAAATTTACTGTTTGTAACAAATTAAAACTTTCGATACATACTTGATCACTATACTTGAAGAATCCATACGACCATTCCAACTTAACAACCAAATTGTAAACAAAAATCCCAAAAATGTTAAAAGCTTTCCAAGTTTGTAGTATTAGGGTGGAAATTAAAACAAATATTACAAATTAGGAAACCTAAAACCACATTTATTAGTGACTTCACTTAATCCATCAAAAGTCCATTCAAGAAAGAGGAAGATTCTTTAAATTACATTTAAATAGGAGATTTTAACGACAACCGGTAGAGTAAAACTCCACTATATTAACACCGTACATGATGGTGTGACAGAGTGTATGGTATGGAAAATGGAGAAAAAATTTGGGGACATAAAAAATCAAAGGTGGTTCAAAATTCGAGCTTAAATGGATGATTTGCTTCATAAAAGGAATTTCGATCGTTACGATGAACAAATCCAGAAATTAGTAAATATGTTTGACTACTTACTGTGAATAAATATTAAGATTGCATATACAGAAAAAAGGGAACAGTTTAGTGAAAAATTCACTGTCACCGATCATTCATTCCAAATAAAAGGTTATTTACACCATGCTAAAAATGGCGATCTAGTTAGATACTGATACGCTCCTTTTATAACACATAAATACCATAGTAGGATGAGAGTGTAGGTTGCTGGGTAAAACTTTTTTATTCTCGCTCACCAGGGTGGGACTATGTGAAATAATATATGGTGGTCAACTCCCATGGATTTCATTGGAAATATAAGATGATATAACCAAGTCATTCTGATGACAAAGGAATGAACTAAGTAGTTATAATCAATTAAGGTCTTTTCATATCGCTCTCTTGAATTGCATGGAACGTTTTTGGTTGTGAAGCTTAGAACAATGTGTTTGAGGTAATAACGTCGAAATAATAAGATTGGCAGCTGACAGTTATTTATACTACAAATTCAATAAACACATATGTTTTAGCTATTTCCAATTTTAAATCAGTGAAATCCATCACTAAATAACTAATTTTTCTTCAGTTCTCTAGACCATTTCAGTACAGTACTTCTAATTGGGGCAATCAAACATGTCAAATAAATATAAGCCATATTCATCGTGCACAACCAATCTATGCAGAAAACACTAAAGTTTCAATAGACACGATATCCATTCCACAGAGAACTGCATCGAATGCATTCCTGTACACATTGAAAAATTCACAAAAAAGATCAACCATTGAAATCAAATCACGTAAGTTAATATGTGTTTTTAATGTAATGTGATTCTTTTGAAATGTGAATAGAGATACTGTTCCCATATATAGGTGCTATACGGTTGAAATAATATTTAACTTTATAAAAACACCGTAGCCTCTGAATAATGAATTTCCATCTATGCTGAGGATTAGATTAAATAAATAGTGTGACTTTATTTTAGTTCTCCAGTAACTCCACTAGTTTAATAATCCCTCATTTTGATACTGGGTGATATGGCTTCTAAACGCATGGTGATCATAAATTCCACAAGGAATTCAAATATACTTTAATGACAAATGTCAATCGCTTCTTTCAAATCTAGGTTTAAAGCTTTCTACGGTTCATGTTCATCCGTATGAAGATGACTGACCAAATTTATTTACTCAATATGTACAGCTTATTTAACTGTCATTATGATGATCGTCATAATATAATTATAGATTCCACTATTGCGTAGCAGCACGTTAGCATCTAGTTTGAAGGTGGTTGTTGCGATTAGGGAACCTGAAGAGCAACATACATGAGAGAAGGTTGCAAGAAAAGTAAAAGTAGAGTGAACCGAAAAAATCAGTAAGAAGATCGAATGTTTTCTCATTTACAGAAAACATAGTTGACAACAAAAAACAGAAATATACGCTTGGGACTAAGATTAGTCCGATAAGTTCAAATAATAATTTCATGGTCACATCCATCTTATGTATTCTTCAAAGCCTCTTACGAAATAAGCAGCTACTGTTGTTGAGAAAATAAATCTGAAGTGAACATGACTAATAAAAACAATTAACCGTCTCCAAGCGAAAACATTACACACTTAATGTATGTTGTAGAACGACCGCATATACATGGCCGATTCAAGTTATAGTACAATTATTAGTTGTGGCTCGAGAATTATTGAATCAAGTTTCACTCTACATGTGATTAGGGTACATTCAGTAGATCTTATCTCTCTTGAAACTTCAAGATCTGGGATTTAGAACGTCATTCAGGAATTCTAAGGTGTTATTCAGCCGTTAGTTATATTCCTAGAACCTATTAATATAAGTAATCTCTTTTCATTCCACCTAAATATAGATATCAATCATTCCTTATTACACACTGCTGCTTGTTTAAACGGACTAACCTTTACTCAATCAAAACTCAATGGATTTAGTGATAAAATCCCCAGTGATGGAAAATATTTCACTGAACAGGTCGGTCGACTATATCCAGAAATACAAGTATCTACTCAAAGATTGGATACAAACTGTGAATTGAACACAACTTGGAGAGTGACTATCGCAGGTAAGTGACATTTTACCAACTTTCTTTACACTACTTTAAAGTAGTAAGTAAACTCAAAAGTGTTTAAAAGTTTTTTTTACTAAATGGAACTAGTTTTATTCTCAGTAAGGGGTTTGTAGAAACTGAAATAATTTTTAACAGTTCGTTTTGGTAGTCGATCAAAGATAGTTTTATTTTGTTGTCTAATATTCCAGTTAACCTACCATTCTATAGTTTCATTCATCAACGTATAAGATACAGAGTGTAATATGAGGTGGTATGTCAGTATAAAACGTTTCAATTATTCCATTAATTTTCGATAGAAAAACAGACTACTATGTAGTGACATTCCGTAATAAATGTATCTTGCCAAAACAAACTTACAATACGAAAGGCGATTTATGTTTTCTCACATGAATATAACGTTTTTTATTGAGTATCAGCCGTGTCTTATTCATGAGTGCTGAAGAGGTGGAAAATTCATTCATTCAAAACCGTTAGTGGTTTTCCATTATCCTCTTATCAGCAAATTCACATTTAGACATACATGATAATTTAATATATGGGTCGTTTGATACATACATTATCTAAGGGGTCCCAAAAGCAACATCTTTATTGTTTCAGATAACGGAGATTTAAATCTATAAGGGTGTTAGTAATATACAGACTCCTCCATCGAAACAGATTTATTATATCGAGTCAACTACTAGGTTGATAGATTGGTACCAAATGTAGTGAGCTCCGTTTTTTCAACGTATTTCATATGCATAAACGATTTACTCAATCATCTTGCGCAATAGACTTCCCAACTAACTATGGTTATCGAATATTATAGCATTCTTTTTTCTCAATGAATTTCAATGTGTCTGCGTCTCGTTCTACTGGAAGAAAAGGTGTGAATTAAATGAACGTTTAGTATCAGATAAAATAATGTCTGCCAGGACTTTTAAAGATTTCAAATGTCTATCCATAACTGTGTTCATAATGATATCAAAAGATTAACCACACAACTTAGTCAGTGCCTTCATTGCTCTCCGCAATATAGCAAAATATTTTTTCACAAAAAACTCAGAAAAGAATGATAAGGAATAGTAAGAAGTAATAGGTTATATAAGGGGGATTTACAAATCATCAAATTATTGAGTAATACCAAATATGAGTAGATAGTTTATTGACTACCATTACATGTATTTGTACAGCTTCGAGAATGAATTCATTTTAAACAAGTTTTATTGATCAATCCATTTTTTCTTGTTTTATGTCAATATAGATACCTTCCCCTAAACGTCGCTAAAAATACACAGTAACATAACCGCTGAATAATTTTCTTTCAAAATCTTCACTTCCTCTTCATCGTTAATCATACTAATGTCTCAAAATGATATGAATAATTCATCAATTTTGTTATACTCATAGGATAGGTTGAATAAGTAAAAATATATTATAAACAGAAATGATACAATGAAATACGAAAAACATTAATCATTTTCAATATATTCATATCAATTCATGTATGATTAGGCTGATAGGACCACCTGAGTTTAGTATTTCCTATGCTAACAGTAAATTAATTATGTACTTTATATCATAAAAGAATGTTTTTTTTATCCATTTCCGTTTGTGTTATTCTGTATGTGAAAACATAGTCATTATAGGTATTGATGAAATAGAAACAATTGCTTTATGTCAGTTATCATTATTTATGTTCCCATGATATCCATAGTTTATCAATCTAATATATATGGTAAGCATCTCTGTTTCATTGAAACGTGTGTGACCAAATCATAATGGAATACATTTTTTAAAAATTCTGATGTCAGCTGACATGCAGACATAGTTGTAAATTTACGGAATAAAAGTTAATAAAAGCAACATGTAGATGTCATCGCTAACTAACCCTAACTGTTGTAAACTACTGACTCCAGAACATAAAATGTTTCCTTGTCTCTAAGTTGTATTAATTATCTGATTACTTGAAACAGAATAATATCAAAATTAAAATGTCTATTTTCATAGTTGCAAGCGTGAATCAATTGAAGCTAGATCACCAAGGAAAACCTAGAAGCACTGAACAGCCGTTTCGTCCTATTGTGGGGCTCTTCAACAGTGCGCATCCACGACCTCGCCTCACAAGATTCGAACCAGTCTTGCACCGGAGCACTTAACCGAAAGACCACTGAGCCGGCATCCGATGGTGTTTATGTCTAACTCCAACCAAACCACGAAGTTGAGCGACTACTTCCAGTTTTTCGTTGCTGATCTAGCCTCAATTGACACACACTTGCAACTATGAAAATACTAAATCTCAACAAAACCCCTTCTGATAATAAAATGTCTATTTAAAATCACCACCAAAAAAAATAAATTTTAATTGCTAAGTATAGATTCACAGATCTCTTACTGATTAGTGTTCACTGAATTTTATTTTCTTCATAGTGTCAATCTATATTCGAAACTATTCATGATCTATTTAAATGTCCACATTATTTTCAACTGATATGCATAGGGATAGAGAGAGAAAAAAATTAGGTCACTAAGTCCAACATGGAATTTAATTAAATTCATAAAGGATTATGTTAGGATGGAACATTAAACTACCTAATAATATGAAGACTACAATCTACTTTCTTGTTAATTGTTAATTGTATAGAATTAATTAACAACTAGGTATATAGTGATCTTAGTAGTAACTATAAATAACAAATATACCAGCCTTAAAGAAATATCATTATTTAGAATACAATGCTAACTCATATGTATTCTGATAATAAATACATAATGTAATTACATGATGTCTGTCAGACATAAAAATAGTACCAATCTAATTAACATCTAATTCACATATCATATTTAAGGAAGTTACTTCAATCAAATATTGTTCATGGGTTAAGTTAAATTTCTAATCATATTAAACTATATATAGTGCTGGAACTTACAAATGTCATTCTCATGAATCCCAAAAAAACACATACACAATACACCATGTTCATAATTTAAGTTATAATCATTTATAGAAACAAAGATGAATAGTGGCTAGTAGTGGAATCCAGGACTCGCGTTTCATCCTATTTGGAACTCGTCAGCTGGATGTACCTGCATCTCAGAGTTGATGTTCACTCTGGGACTCCAACTCAGTACCTTTTGCTTCAAACGCCACCCTATTGCACAAGCAAGTGGCTATGAAAATTCAGTTGCTGAGTGGATAACGCGATGGTGTTTGAAGCGAAAGCTACTGGTTTGGAGTCTCAGAGTGAATATCAACTCTGAGATGCAGGTACATCCAGCTGACGAGTTCCAAATAGGACGAAACGCGAGTCCTGGATTCCACTGCTAGCCACTATCCATCTTTGCTTACAATGCTTGTGAAATAAGGCTGTACTGAGGCAATACGCATAGTATGCACATATGCCAATAAGAGACTGACCAGTTGCAGTCCTAAACATCAATGGGAAGATTCAAACAAATAATACTAAGTGCATTTATAGAAACGTTTGCTGGATAGAAAGTATGGAGGTATTGAAACTACTAGATAAGTTATAAATGGATGATATAAATAGAAATAATTAGGAGTATGAATAAACATCATGTAATTTACTTTAAATTAACCATCAGATAACAAAACGGCGACTAACAGCAGCCATTCAGAACTATGTACTAGATATGTCACATGATAGTTTCGACTAGTTGCAGGAGTTGTGTTCTTTGAGCTGACTGGTTGAATTTTTAGGCTTTTATTATCTTCAACTGTATTAATTTTAAAAAGAAGTAAACTATTAGGATCTCCACAACTGACTAACAGTTTGTTCTGTTAACTTGAAATTTGGTTGACTTATATACATAACCATCTGATGGATTTCTGTATTTTTGCTTTGATTATTTATTACATTTGTTGGTACTTTTGCTTATTAACTAATAAATGTGGTCATTTTCGATACGTTCACAGTATGTTCGCAGTACCAAAAAATTATGAAGTTGTCTAGATGAAATAAACTATCCAGCTCAGAGGACATAACTCCAACATCATCAACTTGAGCTACAAACATTCCTCATCACTTTTTTCATACTTGTTTATTTATTACCATCACGAAAGTAATAACTCTAGTTTATCAGAAAATTTTCTATGACGTGATGTCTAACACTCGTTTTTTGGAAGTAAAAAGTCTTTACACGATTTTTCATTTGATTTTTTTCTTTTTAAGTAAAAAAATTGGTGACTCTAACTCATTACAGTAATTTATCATACTTGAAAGCGTGAGTCAATTGAAGCTAGACCACCATGGAAAACCTGGAAAAACTGGACGGCCGTTTCGTCCTATTATGGGACTCCTCAATAGTGCGCATCCACAAACTCACTCTCGCGGGTTGAAGTTAGACATTAACACCATTGGATGCCAGCTCAGTGGTCTATCGGTTAAGGGCTTTGGCTCGGGACTGGTAGGTCCTGGGTTCGAGTCTCGCGAGAGCAGGTTCGTGGATGCGCACTGCTGAGCAGTCCCGTAATAAGACGAAACGGCCGTCCAGTGTTTCCACGTTTACCATGATGGTTTAGCTTCAACTGACTCATGCTTTCAATTATGAAAAATACTAAATCTCCACAAAACTCCTTCTGATCATTACAGTAAATTTATTAATTTTACACAAAAAGCTGTTAGATATGTCTAATCAACTTTAAAACACGAAGTTCAGCGAAGGGATCTCCTTTCAACGAATTTATTATCAAGCTGTTCAATTGTATACATATATATGAAAATGTTTTGTTAAAGTACTAATTCCTTTAGGAAATGTGAACACGAATAACCAAGATTATAATACTAGATTACGTAATAGGAGTAGTAACAATAGAATGAATATAATGAATATAATAAGATGATTAAAATGCTTTTAGTTACAATAATTAAAGGTCATTAAATGTCATAGAGGTGTAAAAATAAATAAGGTGATATGATGAGTATTCATGGATAAAATAATGAAAATATAAGATATAAGTAAAGGGGAAATGGAGTAAGAATAATAATAATTCC